AGAGGAGGATCCCTGTTTGCTGATGACATGGGCATGAACTTTAGAGCAGGATGGTGTGGGTGGCACTGGACAGAGAGGTGAGTGGTGGGGAAGTGCCAGAGGGCACATGGGCCTTCAGTTAGGAAGCTGGTCTGTTGAGGGAGGAGGTCCAGGACTCGGGCGCTTGGGACCTGTGTCTCTCCCTCCTCCACTTGTGGGAGGTGCTCCCCGGTGCCCATGGACCCCAGCTTCCTTCCCTTGCAGCTCCACGATTCGGGTTTCTTGGTCCTCCCTATTCCTGGCCCCCATCATGAAGTGAGCAAGGCCCTCTTCCTGTAGTGTCACAGATGCCTCATTCTGGAACTTTCCATATGCTGTTTCTTCTGTCTGCAGCGTTCTTCTCTGAGAGATTTCCAGAGCTGTCTCCTTTCACTGATGTTCCTTGCAGAGGCTTTTCCCACCCCCACCTCCTGCAGTTTCCTCCAGCCCAACATCTATTTTCTTCAGAGCTCTTACCACTGTTGGAAATTATCTATTTAGCATGGTGTTTATTTGTTCCGGTCTGTTCTCCAGCCCCTGAAATGTAAGTTCTTTGACAGCAGGAACACCGTGGGCTCATTCATTCTTGTTTCTCGGCACCTAGGAGAGGGACCAACATGGAGAAAGCTCTTAGTTAATATAGGAGAAAATAAGGGATGAATAAATTTCCACTGGATGGCTTGTTCAGTTTCAGATACTAGAAAAACTTGAGAGCCTGTAGGGCGGGCCAAGGAAGCTGAGGCCTGTGGTGGGGCACCGTCGTATCACATTCCTCATAGGAGTGCACTTGCCTATACTCCCTATACTGTTTCTTTTCTCTGGGGAGCTGGATGCCTCTCCTGGGAGCCTCTCCCCATCCCCATGGGTGGCCGATGCCCTCTTTCGTGGTTTATGCCTCTCCTTGTGGCCTTGGACAACTGTGGGCCATTTGCCTCTTCCTGCCCTTTCTGAGCTGGGGCTGGGGCTGGGGATATCCCATCAGCTCCCTGCCCAGTGGGGGTGGGTCTGGTTGGAGGAGGTGCACTAGGAGTGGTGCCTGGGCTGGCCATTATGCACAGGGACCTTGCAGGGGAGGCACTGGGCCAAGGTCCAGAACCCCAGGGGGGCCAAGGGGCTTCTGGGGTGCACACTCTGCTGCCCATGGGAGTAGCCCCAGCTCTGTCCCTAGTCTACCTTCTTGGAGAATTTCCCTTCCTGGGGAGCAGCAGTGGAGAGCTGGATTTCTTGAGGGGATGGGGGTAGGGGGCATTGCAAACCCGTTCTGTTGTAGGGAGGAAAGGACTTGTGTTGGAGAAGTGGGCTTCCTTGGCCCTTGGCCCTGTTCCTGGGGAATGTCAGGAGGGCTGCAAAGTTAGCATAAGCTCTCACATGTTTCTCTGCTCCCAGCCCTCGCCATGTGCAGTTGAATAAGAGCTTCAGAGGCTGAGAGCTGACCTTTTCAGCCAAGTGGGAGCAGGCGGTTATAGCCAGGGGCTGTGGTCCCTGGGGAGTGTGCCTTCAGCCCTCATCGCTTGTTCCAGGGGTGAGGAGCCAGCTGCTGACAGGGAACTTAAATTCTCTGTGATGGCTCAGTCCCAGCCGGGGCTGCCTGGAACAGTAGGCAGAAGCAGAGCAGGTGAAGGTGTGCAGGAGCTCTGACGACTTGTGTTTTCCATGTGTGCATATCCTTGTGTCTACTTAGGGGTCCCAAGACAGTTGCCTGCGCACAGTGGCACCTCCTGTTCCCTAAGAAAGTGGAACAGTCCTATAGGTTGAGATGGTTTTAGGCAGGGGGACCTCAGGGAAGGGACCTCAGGGGACTTCGCGCCCAGTTTGGGAGGACTAGCCATGCTGGCATGACGTATGAGGTCCCTAGAGCCCTATTGGACTCATGGACACAAGGACATGGACACAGAGCCATGCTGGAGCCCTCATTGTGCATGTGCTCATGTACAGGTGCAGAAAGCATGCCTCTGCAGACATGGTTAGTCTCTGCCACTTAAAATTTTTTTTTAAATGTTTATTCAGTTTTTGAGAGAGAGAGAGAAAGAGAGAGAGAGAGAATAGGGAAGGGGCAGAGCGAGAGAGGGGGACACAGAATCTGAAGCAGGCTCCAGGCTCTGAGCTGTTAGCACACAGCCCTATGCGAGGCTTGAACCCATGAATTGTGAGATCATGTCCTGAGCCAAACAAAGTTGGATGCCCAACTGACTGAGCCACCCAGGTGCCCCTCTGCCAGTTTAAAGACTTGTGATGGCCTTGCAAGGTGCAGAAGAGGAGTGGGAACTGGTAGATATGGGTCTGAGGGTGCCACCTTCATGCCTGTCCCAGTCAGCCCTCAGTGTCTTGTCAGCTGTGCTCACATCTGGGTCAGATTAAGCCATGGGGGCAGTGAGGCTTTTGGTGTCCAGGTGAAGGGATGGGGCCACAGAGGCTGTGACCTTGCCTGATCTGGCTCACGCTCAGCTCCACGTGGGCAGTGCCATGGGAAAGCTGTGTTGGAGTTACTTTTAAGACATAAGCCCTGTTCTTTCATTGAAGTTCTCATATGCTATACGAGATAAAGATGTCTGATCAACTCGCTCTGTCAGTATGCATTGCTGAGAAACACACTATCCCAAGATTTAGTGGCTTAGAACAAGTCATTTATTATTTGTTGTGCGTCTGTAGATCAACTGGACAGTTCTGCTCTAGGCTCGCTCGAGTAGCTGGATGCGGTTGACTTGTGACTGAGGGTGGCTGCCTGGGGGCCCACCTGAGTCTCCACGTGTGTCCGCATCCCTTCAGCAGGCCAGCCCCGGGTGTTCTCATGGTGGTGGCAGGCTCCAAGAGCGGAAGCAGAATGCACAAACGCTTATTCAGACCTCTGCTTACACCAAGTCACAGCTGTCTTATAGGTCAGAGCAGGTCGTGTGTCCCAGAGTAGAGGCTCGAAGGGTCTTCAGAGTGACAGGGCACGAGGCACAGGAAGAGGGAGGCCATTACCAGGGGTCTAAATCTCCCATATTTGGGAACATCGTTTACACCATGCTGGTTACGAGATAGTTTCTCAGACAGTGCCATGCAATAGAACTTCTGCAGTGATCCATCATAGATGATGGCTATCTGTGGTGCCCGCTATGGTAGCCACCAGCCAGATGTGGTGGGTAAGTACCTAAAATGTGGCTAGTGTGACCGAGGAACTGAGGTATAATGTTATTTAATTTTAATGAATCTAAGTTTAAATTTAAACAGCCCCATGTAGCTAGTGGTTGCTCTATTGAACAGCCCAGATCCAGGGGGAGACCATCCTGGGTACAGATAGAAGGCCGTTGCCTGCCTAGCATGGGAGTGGCTGCTAGACCTGGGTTTCTGCTTGGGCCGGGTGTTCAAGCTTATTATTGGCAGGTGTGAGTTGTGATGTGCTCAGGAGAGGGGGTGGCTGGGGTTGACTGAGTTTTTTAGCTGGGGGTCCCCTCCACCTGTTGCACCTCCACACCCTGAGCCATCTCTGCACCTCTGCCCTGTCATTCCCTCTGTTCGGTTAAGAGGACTTCTTAAAAACCTCTTTTAGCTTCTCTTTCAAGAGGCTTTGGGACTCCAGGTCTCTAAGGACCCAAGCAGGCTGTGAGGACTGCGTGGCCTCCCTGGGAATCTGAGGGGTGTCGATAGCCAGGGGCCTGTGTGTCGGGAGCCTCTGGCGCTGTGGCAGGATCTCTGTTACCTTTTCATACTTCATAGCTTTGGGGGAGGGGGCAAGGCCTTGATGAAGAGAGCCTGACCTGCTGCCTGGTGCCATTTTCCTGTGTGACTCAGTGGGCAGAGCAGCACTGGGACCCCCGTGTATTGCAGGCAAGCAGCTCTGGGTAAGTGTCTGTGCTTCAGGGGCCTGGTTGCCGTTGGGCAAAGCTGGCTGAGGTCATGGTTGGACTTGAATACAGGTGCCACAGGATTGAATATTAGTCCCGCATTTGCCATCCCTAGAAAGGCTCTCAGGGCTCTTATTGGGGCACTGCTGTGCCCTCCCCGCGAACCATTAGGAGGTTGGTTCTCTGTGCCTCCTAGGTGCCGGCCCCTGAGACACAAACAACTGGGACCCTGAAGAATTGTGGTTCCTCATAGTCCTGTGAAAATGGAAGTCAGAAATTTACATCCCCAGTTTATAGATGAACAAATTGAGGCACAAGGTGGTTGGAAGATTTGCCCATGTGTTTAAGGAACTATCCAAAATTCTAAGTGTCAGAGTCCATGGCAAGTTCCTAGAGCCTATTCCAGGGCTTCCCCCATGGTGGGAAATTGGGGCCCCCTGCACATTTCCCTCCAGCACCCCAGTCATGACTTCCATGGCGCCCTGGTCTCCTCCCTGACACTGTGTCTGGTTTTCCATAACCACTCTTGTTACGTCTCGCTGGGACTAGACTTACTGGGAGTCTGTCATCCTGGAAAGGTGGGCAGCTGAGGGTTCACTATAGCAGCTTGCATGGTGCCTGGCAAGCTCAAGAAGTTTGTGGAATGGGCATGAAGGGAAAGTCTGGGAGAGTAATGGGTTGGGAAAGGCGCTCTGGTTGAATTAATACTGTTTACTGTGAATTTGATTCTGGGGGGGTGGATGGGGCAGGGTGTGCCCATGGTGGCCCATGGGCATCCCAGGCTCCGGGAGAGAGCACCTTGTGTGACATGGGCAGGCCCAGAGCATCCTGTGGAGGGGGCACCTCAGGTGTGGAGGACAGAACTGCTAGAACTTTCGCTCCCATTGGGTGGAAGCAATAGGGAGAGAAAGGGAGGTCATCACAAAGGGTTTTCTGGCCACAGGACCTTTTGGATGGTGGGGCATGCTCCTCACGGTGGGAGACACTCACCCTGGGGCCAAACAGATGTGTGGGTGTTTTCCATCTCTGTTCAGTGGTCACTGTGGCAGACGTGAGCCGTGGCTTGTGGCAGCGGCCTGTACCTGGCGCGGAGCATTGGGGTTAGACCCTTCCTGCTTAAAGCTCATTCTTTCCTCCCCCTTCTCCACTGCTTAGATATCCGTGGGCTCCAAAGCTTTCTGGATCAGGCCTCGCGGCTGGGCCTTGACGTCTCTTTGCAAAAGGTGGACAAGAACATTAGCCACGTGTTCACCAGTCTCTTCACCACGATGAAGACAGAGGAGCTGAACCGCTATCGGGACACACTACGCCGAGCCATCCTTCTGCTCAGCCCGCAGGGGGCCCACTCCTTCATCAATGAGGTAGGTGGTGGGGCCTGGGGCCGCAGGAGCCTCTCCCCGGGGTGCTGTGGGGTGGCCCAGGTGGCTGCCAGGCACAGCCTACTCGTGCAGGAGCAAACTGGATGTGGGGACTCCTGGGTGCTGGGCCCACAGCACATTCCAGAAAGAGACCCCGAGCACAACCTGGCTCCCGACTGATCCCCAGCAGGTGACCCAAGGCCTTCATGGACACTGAGAGGCTGGGGGCAGCTGGCGGGAAGCCTGTTTACAAGTCTCTGCCAGGGATACCTGAGGCCAAACCCAGGCTGTGGTTTGTTTGTGGTGGTGGTGTTTTAATTTTCCTCTCTTTGTTGACAGGTGTAAGCCTCTAGGGATAAAATAAATTTCCAGCTTTCTGCAGAGGTGGGCAGCTCTGCCTTGGTATTTGTTAGCACCTGGAGGAGGTGTTGGTTGCATAATCTCAAATGATACTTGGTGTGCGTGCTTGTATTTTTGGTGCCTGGGCTAATCAGTGCATTTTTTTTAAACACCTCTATCAGGGGTTAGGGCCTTCTAATGAAGACAGGGCCCAGCAGCTTAACAAAGAATTTGGTGTCTTGAGAATAGGCAACGAGAAATACTCTCTGAGTTGGCTGATGGTGCCAGCCCTGGCGGTCTGATGGCAGAAAGGTGACGAGCTGGACGCGGCAGGTGCTTCTCTGGCCTGGGTTGGTTTCTGGGGGTGGGGGCTGTGCTGGGGATGTGGTGTGCCTGGGAGGAGGGGTGGACCAGAGGGGTCGCCCGGTGCCCAAATGCTCCCTGCGATTTCCTTTCCAACCCCAGTCACCTGTTTGGCTCTCTCTGATTGAAAGGAAAATGAAGAGAAAGAATTATACTAATTCCAGTTGATGTACTTTGGTTGCTTATTCCGCTTTCCCCTCTAATTAATTATTACTCAGAATGCTACCTTACGCATCAGGAACCGGCACAGAGCCCACCGCCAGAGAACTTAAAATTCGGAACGCTTAATTTGGTGCAGTTGGCTGCACCTAATCTTGGCTGCAAGATTAGGCCGCTCTTGGCCTAATCAGTGCCCAGATCACGCTGGTGGTCAGCCAGGCTGTGATGTCCTGTCGGCGCCCGGCATTTTCTCGGGAACACGTTTCCCTGTAGGAAGTGATTCAGGCCAGTAATGGGCAGCCTGGGATCGGCTCTAATGCATCCAGGCTTTCTCAGAATGTTCCCAGCAGCGCATGTGTCGGTGTCTGCTCACAGGAAAGCTTTTGTCCTTGCTAAATTCCCCCGGCCGGAGTCTGCTCTGGTGATGGTGTCCACTAATTCTGTTGCTGGGCTTCTTCCTGTCTCTTCTTGCCCATATCTTGCCTCCTCTGCTTGCTTCCTTTCTGCCTTGTCACTGCTCTGTTGTTAAGCTTGGGAGTGGGAAGAGTATTGGCTTCGGAGTTCAGCAGATTTGGGGTCAAGTCCCAACTCCTCCACTTAGTATCGTTGTGACCTTGGGTGATTTGCCTCACCGGTGAGACCTCAGTTTCTTCATCTGTAAAGTAGGGATGAAGGAGACTAGAGCGATGGTAAAGCATTTGGTACATAGCTTTTTAGGAAACATCATATTCACTGTTTCCCTTCCAGATGAATTCAGCCCTTGCTCTGTTTCTAGGCCCTGTAGGGATTTAAGATGCAAATAAGACTGGCCTAAAGATATTATTTCCAAGTGGATAATTATGCAAACTTCTGCAGTGTTGGAAATACTTGGCTTGGCTTTGGCCTGTTGCCTTCTTGATCACCCCCTTGCCCCCCCCCTCCTGTGTTTGCAAAGTCTTTGCTTTGCTGGGTGCTGCAGAGCTGGGGATGCCCCAGGAGGGGCTACTCTGAATGCAGGGCAAGAGTGACAAGCCCCTGGGAGTGCTGGCCGGAGACTGTGGGGAAGGAGGGCACCTGGGCTTTGTTGCCTTCAGCTCCAGCTGGTCAGGGTCTTGGTTTTCGATCTCATGTGCCTGGGGTGGGGGTGGGGAGGTTTCATTTCCTGGGTACCCACCATGGTCCTGGCCCTTTGTGTGCTTTCCCTAATTGTCATGGTCTGCAAATGGGGCAAGTGAAGCTGAGGAAGTTAAATGATTGGCTTTAGGTCACACAAGTAGCCACCAGTTAATTGGGCAGGAATCAAATCCAGATTTGACCCACTCCAGGGTCCCCATTTGCCATGTTGTTGGGATGAGAGAATATTATAGTGTCGGTGGTAGGTCAGTGTGGCCATGCTCCGTTCCTGCTGGGGGATATGGCTCAACTGCCTCTGTCCAAGGTCTGGCAGAGGATTTTAGGGTGCTTATGCTCAAAGAATTTTAGGGCATCTACTAAACACAGTAAGAGAAGGAAGGTGAATGTGACATGTATGGCTGGCTAGTCCAGAAGATCCTCTGGGAGACATCTGGGGAGGCCATCACTGCACAAAACCTTCATTCACTGCCTGGAGGCCTTGCTTGGGCTTTCTGAGCAGACTGAGCCCACCTCTTGTTTGTTATAATGAGGATAGAGGGTGTTCGCAAGGCTGATCCACTGACGGGACAGGTCCTGAATTTTTTTTTTTATTTTTATTTTTTTTTTTCACGTTTATTCATTTTTTTGGGATAGAGAGAGACAGAGCATGAATGGGGGAGGGGCAGAGAGAGAGGGAGACACAGAATTGGAAACAGGCTCCAGGCTCTGAGCCATTAGCCCAGAGCCTGACGCGGGGCTCGAACTCACGGACCGCGAGATCGTGACCTGGCTGAAGTCGGACGCTTAACCGACTGCGCCACCCAGGCGCCCCTGACAGGTCCTGAATTTTAAGAAACTCAGAACACTGTTATGGGGCAGTAAATGGCCTGAGAGCCCCACAGCTATTGAAGACACGTGGATATTATACCCAGTCAGGACTGGTGTGTGCGAGCCACAGTAGTGGTGGGGTATGTCGCTCTCCTGACTGTAATTTCTCCCTTCCCCACTCAAAAAGCCCGGCTGATGGGAGGAGGGAGAAACATGGTTCTGCCTGAATCTTCTACATTTTGCTACATGTGAATCTGTTGGGAAGGCTGGCACTTTCACTATCGCTAGTGACAAATTCTGTATGATGTGGACTTGGCTGCCTGGGACTTGCCAGGCTGTCCACATGCTGTGTTGGGAGCTGTGTCTCTGTCCAGTGTCCAGGATGCATGCATTCAATGTGGGGGACTCAGCCTGGGGGCCCATGCACCACCGGCATCTCTGTGATCCCACTTTATGAGAAGCCATCCTGGCTGGGAGCCGTGGGGGAGTCTGGCCTTGGTAGTGGGTGGGTGTCAGCAGAACAAGCAGGCCGAGGCCATGGGGGGAGGCACGTGGGCTCATATAACAGGCCCCACCTCAAGATCCCCTCACCTTCCATCACTCAGTCTTGAATCCACATTCCCTCCTCTGGGATCTTTTTATCACAGTCTACACAACCACCACACTAGTGCGTTGTTTTTAAAAGGCCCCCCTTGGGGAAACTGGGCTCAGGGGTGACAGCACTCTGGTCCCTTGGTCCCAGACCTGGAGCCCACTGTGGGGTGCCCTTGGGGACTGCTGAGGGCATAGGCCATAGAGAATCCTTCTTCCTGAAAGGCTTGTTTTGCTCTGGGATTGCCATTGGATCTCTGAGTAAGGGTAGGCAGCACTTTTTAATCACCCTAACTGGGAAGTGAGTTGGACTCATTCTATCCTCAGCTGGGCCTTGATATGTCTGTAGACCACTGACTGCTAAGTGGGGCTTCATTACGCAGTGATACCCACTATGCCGCTGTCTCCATGTAGCCTGTCAGCCTGAACCACCCGCTAGGGGTTTGGGGATGTGAGTGTCCTCTCCTCACTCCAGGGCCGTGGGAGTCCTGAGAGGGGCTTAGGGCAGAGGCTTTGCCTGGGAATCCTGTCTGTGGCTATTGGAACCTTCTTCCTTCTGTCTGTGGGTTCCATCTTTCATTTCTCTAGAATTTAATGAGCCTGAGTGCCATGTCAAGTTTTGTGCTGGGCACTGAGGCTGTTGTCCCTGCTCACATGGAGCTCCCAGTTTGGTGGGGAGGAGAGAGGTGTGAACAGACTCCTTCACCTGTCAGAGCAGAGGTGTGGACCAGGTTCTGTGAGAGTGCCAAGGATGAAGCAATGCCATCTGGCCAGGGAGAGATGGGGGTGGCCAGACGCTCAGGGATGCTTCCTGGAGTAGGTGACACTGGGGCTGGGTCTACAGGAATGAACCTTCATTAACCTCATGGCCAAAGGGAATGCTGGGGGACAGAAGTCTGGAGAGCCCCAGTGTTTTCAGGGACTTGTGCGTCATGTGGTTTCAGCAATGGATGCACAGGGTGGAGAGTGGATGAGGCTGAGGCTGGGGTATCAGCAGGAAGGGGTCTCTGATCCAAGGTGGGGAGTCTAAACTTCAGGACCAGTTTGTTCTTGGTGTCCTTTTCGGAGTCTTTGAGGCTAACAGCTTACAGTGCACTCCATAACCACGGCCCCAGTGCTGAGAAGGGTATGTATGTCTTATTGTCCCTTCTTCTTGGGCCAGGTTTGATAGGGAGACCTCCAGTGCACACTCAGTTTTGGTCCTGGGCTTCATCTCGTCTTCCTGGAGGTGATTCCATCCATCTGTCCCTCATCTGTCCATGTGTCCGTCTGTTTGGCCATGCGTGCATGCATGCATGCATGCGTGTATCCATCCATCCATCCATCCATCCATCCATCCATCCATTCATCCATCCTTCCATCCATCTATCCATCCTCCTACCTAAACACCCAACAATTTAGTACAGATTGGGTGCCTACTATGGATGCCTACTTGGGTGCCTACTATGCACTCAGGCTCATATGGACCAGGAGCCATATCAAGTACTGGCTGGGGACACAGAGGTGGTGTCTCCTCCTGGAAACCTACAGGACGTTAAATATTGTGGCTACACCACCATGACCATAGTCGTGTTGGGCATTCGCAGTGGCTGGCCTAGGTGGCATACCCCAGAGCTCTCATACACTGAGGA